TTTTTTTGAGACGGAGTCTTGCTCTGTCACCCAGACTGGAGTACAGTGGCGCATCTTGACTCACTGCAACCTCTACCTCCCAGGTTCAAGTGATTCTCCTGCTTCAACCTCCCGAGTTGCTAGGACTACAGGCGTGTGCCACAATGCCTGGCTAATTTTTTATATTTTTAGTAAACGAGGTTTCACTGTGTTAGCCAGGATGGACTCCATCTCCTGACCTCGTGATCCACACGCCTCAGCCTCCCAAAGAGTTGGGATTACAGGTGTGAGCCACTGTACCCGGTGAGTTTGATTTTTTTTACATCTTTTTTGGCTTTTGAAACCAATTTAGCAAAGTGATAAATTGTATCTCATTGTATTTCTTTGATTATTAACAATTATCTGATAGGAATTTTGCCTTTGTTTTTCCTTTGGTATAGTCATCTTTTTCTCATTGCATAAGAGCTTGCTCTAAAACAGCTATTAAATAGCCTTTTGGACATTAAGTATATTTTGACTGTTTTCCTTGCTTTGATATTTGTCTTTCAGTTTTAAGGTATAATTTCTATATAGGAATTTTTTATTTTATACAATCAAATCTGTCAGCTTTGACCCTCTTTTACAGGGTCTTTTGTGTCATGTTTAGTTTGAAAAGCCATTCACAAAGCAAAAAGCACTGTGTTGTGTTTAGATTTCAAGAAAAACTTCCAGGAAGCACTTTTTCTTTTTGAATCTGCTGCTCTAGAAAGTGGTCAGCACCCTGATCACTGATCCAGCATTTCAGCCTTTGAACCCCAGTAATCTCTTAGAATCCGTGGTGCACTTACTGCTAAGTAGTTTCATTAATTAATAGATAGTTCTTAAATATTCTTTGCATGTATGTATATGGCATTTGTTGTTGTTGTTATTGTTGTTTTGTTGTTGAGACAGAATCTTGCTCTGTCGCCCAGGCTGGAGTGTGGTGGTGTGATCTTGGCTCATTGCAGTCTCCGCCTCCCAGGTTCAAGTGATTCTCCTGCCTCAGTCTCCTGAGTAGCTGGGATTGCTGGCACATACCACCACACCCAGCTAATTTTTGTAGTTTTAGTAACGGGGTTTTGCTATGTTGGCCAGGCTGTTGCCGAACTTCTGGCCTCAAGTGATCCGCCCACCTTGGCCTCCTATAGTGCTGGTATTACAGGCATTAGCCGCCTCTCCCAGCTTTTAAATATTCATTAGTTTTCACTCTAACTATTGGATAAGATGTAATTTATACAATGTTCAACTCTAAAGCCGAAAAAGCCTTGCTGTGGACAATAAGCGTTAGGTGCCCCAGCTCCATCTTCATGCACAGAGCCTTGACAGCCATAAAGTCAGCCACAGCAAAACTGCATTGGCGTCTTTGACGTTCCATATGAGCTCATTAATTCAAAAGCTAATTTCCCTTTGTCAAAGAGGGACTCATATCTAAACTTAGTTTTTTGTTAGTAAAAAGGAGGCTTCCACATTAGGAAGAACATTCCCTGAGACTTCATAGAAACAGTCCTTGATTTTCCTATCCCTTTTCTCAGATCACTTCACTGTTTTATATTCTCATCTAAATTATGTGACTTTGGCAATGATTCACTCCAGACAACTTGCTTATACAAAGAGAAAACATCAGCCTTATGTCTGATCTTGAAATCAAAAGGACAGCAAGGAGGGCAGGAGTGGGGTGGGAAAAAAAAAGAAAAAGAACACCACCACACACAAAAAAACAGCAGAATAGGACAAAAGAGAAAAGAGGGGATGAAGGCAGCCAGCTGGTTTTGTTTCTACAGGCCCAGTCACCTAAACCCTGTTCCTCCTTCCTCCTCTCTTTCCCATTAATTCCTCTCCAGAACCAAGAACACCCACCTTTGTGACATTCTCTCTGTTGCTAAGCAACAGACAGGAATGGGGCTCCATTTACCCCAGGATCCCTAGGAGAAGCTTTGGATTGAGGAGCTCCAACAAGGAAGCTGTGGAGCTGCAAAGGGAAGGAGGGACGAAAGTAGATCTCCGAGATGCTGCGGCTTGTTGTGCAGTCGGCCAAGATTGACCCGCCACTGGCCCCCCTACCCAGGCCCTGCGTGTCCGTCGACTTCAGAGGTGAGAGCCTCCCTGGGTCCACATGGGAGAGAGGAGCCCCAAGAGGCAACATGCATTCAGTGAAAAAATAGGTGTATGGCACTACGTAAAAGATGTTCTGTGTAACACAAAGTGGACAATTAGACGTTGTCCAGCTCTCTCAAAACTTATTGCTATCATTTGATTGCAACTTCTCTACCTCCCACTTTTCCTAGGGAATGGCTATGAAAAAAAGAGAAGACTGGTGCTTCTGGATCTTCTTCCATGACCTAAAGATGTGCCATAAACTAGGTTTTTTT